TGCGGTCGCATGTTCTATCGACTTCTCACAATCCACATATAGATTCTTTTCAAGGACCTTTAACGTATCTAACAAACCATTTTGTCTTTTCGTATACTCAATTGTGCTCTCGTCAACAGATATACCATATTTGGCATATACTTCGGGGCTGTAGTATTGGTTATACATGTTCTCAAGACACCAACATCCCTCGATGCTGGCTTTGGTAACTATTTTAGTGGCAATGATTTGAGGAGTAGAGAGTGGTTGGTCTTGAAGAAGATGTGGTTGAAATAGTTCCTTAGCATACTTAGGAACAATAGCTATAATAGTATGAACATTAATGATAGACTTCGCATTCTCGATAAGATAGAGAAGAGTGTCCCAACGCAGCTCTAGAACTATTTCGGAATGAATGTTAGTAGTAGCATTCTCAAGACCAGTTAATGTTAACACAATGTTTGTCTTAATAACAATCCTTTGACATTTGATTTCTTGATTGTGGAGAGCTGTGAAATCAATATTGGTGCTGGCCTCAACATTATTTTCATGGCTCGCTGTGGCCTGGTTTGGGCGATAGGTTAGAAGACGTGTTTGATCCTGTATTACTGTCACTATCAGAGTGAGTTTGGCAACTAGCTTCCGCTGGGACAACTTTAACCTAATAAGATCTACTATAGATGGATTCAAACAACAGACGTTAATTGTGAGATTGTGCTTTGAATTCGAAGCAGCACACCTAATTGTTTCCTCTAATTCGGTCAAACTGGGCTCTACTTCACTAGCCCAATGCATGTATCTCTCTATGTCATACTCTTCTATTCTAAGTTCCAGCTCCTCACACTCTAGCACGTTGATAACTTGAGATATAATGTCTGCTCTGTAGAGTGGCGTCATGAAATACATTGGTCGATAGATAAATACTGCCTTCTGGGCTTTGATAACAACAATATGCTCCAATGCATTCAAAACCTCCTGCAATTCGGTTACTTCACTAGTTTTAGGCATTGTGAATTTCAACTCTGGCTCTGGCCACATCACCATAGATTCGTCTTTTCTTTCGGTGGAGCTAGTTAGATTTAAACTGACAGTAGAGTTTGAGGCATCCGCTGCTACTTCTTCAGGAATGTAGGGCTTAACATAGACGATACTCTTCTTATGCTGAAACGAAAACCCAAGTGCCTTTAGGTCTTCAGTCATCTTCGGTGATTTTTCCCAACCCTCCATAGTTGTTATTTCCTGCACATCAACATCACTAACACCGTCTACTTTACTATCACACATACCATCACCACACCCCCCTCTAACACTACCTAACACTAACACTAACACTAAAGACCATAGCACAACTACGATTCTATATCTAATCTCCCGACCGCGATAAATCCTATTTCTATTCACACCTCTGATTATTTCAAGATAAGACATAATTTTCAAAACTAAAGTCAAACTATCTAAATGAAAGCTAATTAAGAAAGTAAATTAATTGTGGAGTGCTAAAGTGGAAAGTGTTAGGATTGGGTTAGGATTGGGTTAGGATTTCGAGATAGGTGGGTGTTGTGCCCCAAGTAAGGTGTCGTGCCCCGGGGAAGGGATAGTACCTTTCAACCAAACATATTCGACTAAAGACCGATTCTGAAGAGGACGATGGGAGAATTTATTCAACTCTGCTTCTTCGGGAGTTTCAGATATGTTGCTATAGCTTAGGTTCTCTTTATCGTACGTCATCTTGAGATAGTCTGCAAACTCAGATTATATTTATATTCTGAGGTTGTAATTTCTACTTCGAGATTTTAATCGCGTTCGCTGCGATCAGTGCCAGGCCGATAAGTATTCCAGAACTTTGCCCCTGTAGATAACTCACTTAAAAGTGGGGGCCGGCGAGGACACCACACTAACACTATCTAATTGGCGGTTAGTATTTGTGTTAGTATTTGGGTTAGTATTGAATTGGGTTTACTGGCTCGTTTTTGGCACCCCGCATCGGTCTTCCACACTAATAAAGCATAAATGTTAACTCGCTGATTTATTCAACTTAAATGAACATGGCATAGAGTGGGGTGGTAGTGTTATAACTTGCTTCTTTCTTGGGTTTAGGATGCATCCAACCTGAGTATTTATAAGAGGCATAGAAGAATGTAGGGGTTGTACGCCATGTTGTGATCTTAGATTGTTGGGACTCTGGGATAGACGTTGGAATATTGCTTTTGACAAGAACAAGGTTGGGCAGAGGCGCGTATACAAGCTGGCAAGCTTTCTTATAGCTGGCATGTTTCTTACAAGTTGGACACTTTAGTAAATCCTCGTGGGGCTTCTTCATCTTCCATACACATTCAATGCAGAATAGATGATCGCAAGCGAAATAGCAGACTGTTTTAAAGTGCAACTCTGGATTAAGGATTGAAAACCTGCTCACAGTATCTGGGTTTGCCTTCTTTGTTGTCGCACAGCATAGTTTCCACATTGTACTCTTTCTTTTGACCTCAATTGGCCGATAAAGACTTAAGGAACACATTGAACATATAATGGAGGTAGACTTCTTTATAGCCGTTGCGAGTTTGTACAAATGTGCCTCAGAATCCATCCCAGTGAGGTCCAGTTTAAGAATGTGGGGTATCATTGTATAATCCACGACAACAATATCAGGACGAGAGATATTAAACTCTGCTAGTCTGATATTGTGGATAGTGCCGGCAAGTAAGTTGATTTGTGCGGACTTTGATGATATGGAATAACATCTGAAGACATCTAACCCATTGACGTGGTAATTGTGGACTAACATCTTCCATTGTTCAGCCTGCGAAACCTCAAGATTGTAGAGATCCAACCATTCTAGATCTGTAAATTGGCAAGCAATCCAATCGAGAATCTTCACTAGGTTATTCTCAGTTATTGGATTAGTATCACTGAAATATAACGATAATTTATCAAGGGAAAGTTTCTGGATAGATGGCTTTTGTTCTTGGTTTGGATCTGGCTGTGATGTAGACGTGGTGCATCGACTGGCAAGATCCGCTTCTAATTCTTGTAGATTAATGTTTCTGAGTACCAGCTCCTTATAAAATCGGTTGTTGGGATGCCTCAATGCATATTGAGTAGCCGTCATTATATAGGATTTGCAATCCACCATTTGATGATGAATATTAGCCGCTAAAGGAATAACCCCGCATTGAATACCAATATCATTAAACTTAGCCAAGATTTCAGTATACTTACTGTCATCAATACCTTCCAGTGGCAACAGCAGTTTGTTAAGACCAAGATCCGTGATGGTTTTGTCTTTGGCTTTCATTCTTTCGATGTAGTTGAATAATGGGAGTTCCGTGAGTCTACCTTCTTTCTTATACTCCTCATACAACCTCACCTCATCTAATCCAACAAAGTCATTGAGCACAAGTTTAGAGATCTTCCGACATGTAGGGCGGCTGAGGATTTGGGTAATATTAAGGTTCTTGTAGCCTTGGTTCAGAATATGTACTTCCATAGAATTGGCGAATGTGTAGTTGTTTAGGATCCAGTAAATAAGGCTATCATCAACATTGTCTAGTATCAAGGTCTTAAGAACAAGACGGCGTCGGCAGATTTCCGGGAGTGCGTTATTTCCTTCTATCTTAGATAGGTCAAAGCTACCTATCGCTCCAACGATAACATTCGAGATTCTAAGTGTGCAGGCGGTGATATTGATGAATAGGTTTAAAACTGTCTGACAGAGCGTGCTAGCCCAACAATCACCAACTCCGTCGATGTGGATGTCTGTATAGCGTATGTTCTGACAGAAAACAACGTATGGGCCGCCGAAACGGTCACAATTGCTAAGACCCACCATAATCAAATCATATAAAATTCCAAGGTTGATATCAACTGATTCTTGAAGTTCCCACTTGTTATTGCTGCAATCCTCAGCAGGACATTTAATCCCATTTGCAGTCACATGTTCTATCGACTTCTCACAATCCATTTCTAGATGGAGTTCAAGGGCCTTTAACGTATCTAACAAACCATTTTGTCTTTTCGTATACTCAATTGTGCTCTCGTCAACAGATATGCCAAATATGGCATATACTTCGGGGCTGTAGTATTGGTTATACATGTTCTCAAGACACCAACATCCCTCGAGGTTGGTTTTGATAGTTATTTTAATGGCAATGATTCGAGGAGTAGAGAGTGGTTTCTCTGGAAGAAGATGTGGTTGAAATAGTTCCTGAGTATACTCGGGCCTAATAGCTATAATGGTATGAACATTAATGATAGACTTCGTATTCTCGATAAGATAGAGAAGAGTCTTCCAACGCAGTTCTAGAACTATTTCAGAATGAATGTTAGTAGTAGCATTCTCAAGACCAGTTAATGCTAAGCATTTCAATTCGTTATCAATAACAATCTTTTGGCATTGGATTTCTTGATTGTGGAGAGCTGTGAAATCAATATGGGTGCTGGCTTGGACTTCATATAAATGTCTATATGGGTCCTTTGGTTTGAAAATGGATGGAGGATCGTTTTGTTCTTGCATTATTGTCACTATCAGAGCGGGTTTGGAAGCTAGGTTTCGCAGGGACATGTTCAAGGGGCTAAGATCTACCCTAGATGGATTCAAACAACAGACGTTAATTGTGAGATTGTGCTTTGAATTCGAAGCAGCACGCCTAATTGTTTCCTCTAATTCGGTCAAACTGGGCTTTACTTGACTAACCCAATGCGAGTATCTCTTTATGTCATACTCTTCTATTCTAAGTTCCAGCTCCTCACACTCTAGCACGTTGATAACTTGAGATATCAATTTTAATCTATCCTCACATCTCAGTGAATACTCTACTTTATAGATAAATACTGCCTTCTGGGCTTTGATAACAACAATATGCTCCAATGCATTCAAAACCTTCTGCAATCCGCCTACTTCACTAATTTTGGGCATTGTGAATTCCAACTCTGGCTCTGGCCACAACACCATAGATTGATCTGTTCTTTCGGTGGAGTTAGTTAAAGTTAAAGCTACAGTAGAGTCCGAAGCAGGCGCCGCTACTTCTTCAGTCATGTGCTTCTTAACATAGACGATACTCTCTTCATGCTGAAACGAAAACCCGATTGCAGTTAGGTCTTTAGTCATCTTCGGTGATTTTTCCCAACCCACCGGAGCTGTTATTTCCTGCTCATCAACGTCACTATCACCGTCTACTTTACTATCACACATACCATCACTACACCCCCCTCTAACACTATCTAACACTAACACTAACACTAACACTAAAGACCATAGCACAACTACGATTCTATATCTAATCTCCCGACCGCGATAAATCCTATTTCTATTCACACCTTTAACTATTTCAAGATAAGACATAATTTTCAAAACTAAAGTCAAACTATCTAAATAAATGCTAATTAAGAAAGTAAATTAGTTGTGGAGTGCTAAAGTGGAAAGTGTAAATATTGTGTTAGTATTGGGTTAGTATTTCGAGATAGGTGGGTGTTGTGCCCCAAGTAAGGATAACGACTTCTTATCCAAATATACTTGACGAGAGACAAATTGGGTTAGTCTTGGGTTTGTGTTGGTATTGTGTTGATATACAAGTCTGAGCCGTTTCTAGATCTGGTATCGCCTTCTGTAAATCCTTCATGTATGTCATAGAGGGTCTTGGGAAGTTTTGGAAAGCCCTTTATCAATCTTCGTTGCATGCTTAGACTCTAATTTAGTTGGTTTAATTGGGTCTGGCTTATCTAAAGTAGCACGGAATAAATATCTACATTATATGCACTTACTCGTCTAAAAGTAGAGATATCTCGAGAGCCTCATTAAGATGTGCAGGGGATGGTACAGA